TAAGTTTTCTTAATACATACACAAACCACAAAATCCTGAAGACCCGTTGCCTGTCTGTTTCCATTCACATTCAACAACCAAAACAGAGGTTGTCATTCTCCATAAGCCTCGCTAATTTATCATCGTCTTTATTGAAGGTCTTGTAATATGAGGCCTTTTCCTCTTCCTCCCCATCCAGCACGGCTCTTACGTGCTCACCCTCACATTTATTTTTACTAAGAACCTTCAGTAGGACAAGTTGCTATTTTCATCAGGTAAGCTAATAATACATGTGGGCACCACACAGGTTATGTATGTTCCTAATAAGCCAGCTAGCTAAATAAGACAGCTTTACCCCTTAATCCTGGACTGATGTTTGCTGTAATTGCAGCAGCACTTGTGCATCTTTACACAAGCACACGCTGAATTAATTACACACAGGCTTTTCCCAAGCACAGCCATATGCCCCTCTTTGGGTAGAGAATAGAGTGTTTTATACTGTTCTTAAAACTGCATCTCACTTCCAGCACAATACTTCCTGGCTCCAGATGCCTCTTTTTGGCCTGAGCCTTGAGACCAACATTTTTCCACACTCAATTCTAACTGAGGATGGAGTATGTGTCCAAAATGCAGCTGTGCCTCCTGCACCTCAGTGGCTTGCCCTGACCTGAGCACACTGATGGCAGATGGCACATGGATGGCTTGGCCTCTGCCCGCAGCAGCCTCTCCAGCCACTTGTGCTGACATGGGGTCGGATGTTCTCCCTGTCTCCTGTGCTCAGGTGTCCCTGTGCATTTATTGCCTTTTGGCCTAGATAATGCTTTGCTGATGAGGTCTGTGGGGTTTGTTGCACTCCAGTGCCTCTCCTCCTCTTTCCTTGGGCAGGTCTGGCCTGGCCACCATCCCACACTGGAGTAGTCTTGTGGCTGCCCCAAGGGCATGGTGGCTCCTTGCCTGCACGGGCAGCAGGGACCCTTGCCTGCTGACACAATTCCCCTCTGCCCACAGTGTCCACTGAGCCCATCAGCGAGGAGACTGTCCGCTCAGAGCTGCTGATCCCAGCGGCACGGCCAGTGGATGCCGGCAACTACACCTGCACAGCCGCCAACTTCTTGGGCAACGCCTCAGTGGCCATCACCCTCAGTGTGGGGGCCCCAGGGCCAGCCACTACCCCCCCAGGCTGGGCACCCATCGCCCCTGCTGAGCCAGGTGCCCACATAGAAGTGCGCATCACCAAGCAGACGGTCTACGGCATCACCTTGGAGTGGTTTGTGGTGGCAGCAGCAGAGCCAGGGGAGACCTGGTACACCCTCCTGGTAGGCCGCTATGATGCCGCCCAGAAGGATGCCATCTATATTGGTCTCGGTGACTGATCTGCTGCCGGCCACCAAGTATGAGGTCTGCGTGGCCGTGCGCAACCAGGCACCCCGCAAGGGCCAGTGCGTCGTCTTCGTCACGGGCAACGATGTCAGCCAGCTGGAGCAGCGTGAGAAGCTCATCCACATCATTGTCATCGTATGTGCCATGGTGCTGGCAGTGCCTGCTGGCATGTACGCCTGCACCGC